TATATATATATATATAACAATAAGTTGAACATAAACAGAACTATATAATGCATGATAACTAAAAAATTAGACTTACATAAAAAAAATATATGTCAAGTAATTAAGACTACGTGTTGATTCTGTTTATCGTTCTCAAATGACCGACGCTAACACAAACTAAATATATGATATGTTAACAATGATGATAAGGAGAAGGAAACATTATGTTCTTGTAAATAGATTAGAATAAATCGCGTCGAGAGATTCAGCGTCACTTTTAATATTTAAGTCATTGGTTTCTTAATAAAAATCATTTCTGACGTCAACCTTTTATTTCGCTTTATAATTGTATTATATTATTGTAGTATTGTATTATGTTTATTATTTATTATCAACGTTTTTTATTATTATGTTAATTTAAGTTGATTACGATATTGAGAGAAGGATTTACATTAGGATCGAAATATCTGTACATTTTGTATTAAATAATAAATATTTTGCGGACATCCAGTGCTTGGTTCGCATAGATATCATTTTTCTTTGTTCCATTAACTGTATATACAAACTTCTGTATCTAGATTGTCAACTTCGTCGCTATGTTTGAGGATAGTGATCTTTTAATATGCTATGCATATTAAAAGAAACATAAAAAGTAATAGTTTCCGACTGTAAAGCATGTAACCAACAATAAAACAATAATTTTGTAATAATAGAATAATAATTTGGTAATTTTGTAATTCACTTTTGTTTCAAGATACAAGGTTTATTCGTATCGCGTATTCTAACTGTGCTTCTATCATAACTCCTACTCATTTCAAAGAAGGTGTTTAAGTGAGTAGGAGCTATGATAGGAGTATGTTGGAGCATGTTGAAAAATGCGACGCGAAACAAATTTACAGAATAAATCCCCAGATTGTTGAAAAATGCAACGCGAAACAAATTTACAGAATAAATCCCCAGATTGTGGCATTCATAGACAAAACGTATACATATGCATACGTAAATTAAAACAAAGACAGCTATTATTAATCATGTTCGTTTTTTCTATCATGCAGAAATCAGCAACCTCTAGAAGTTTGTGATTATATCATAAATTCATATATGTTATTTAATTATTGTTCATAAAAAGTTTAAGATCTTAATATCAAATTCTAAATATTATATATATATATATATTTTATATATAGATATATATATAT